CAAATATTTATTTCTTCTATTTATATATATATTTTTTTCAAACAACTTATTTTATTATATTTTCAATTTTTAGTTTCCTATATTTATATATTCATGCATTTCATTTATGTATTATTAATATTTATAATATATGTAGTTCCTTGAGTTCATGCTATGCTATGCTATTTTTGGTTTAAAGTTGTGGCATACTTAAAGGATTTATGCAAGCAAATTAATTTGCTATGATTGCTCAGATAGTTGACGCGACATATAGTTACATATGAGTATATATATACCACATATATCTCAGATATATACAAATATTTCTTTGGCTTATGTCATTAAATCAACTGACGCTAGATGTGCTTGTGTGTGTGTCTCTGTCTCTCTGTGTGTGTGTGTGTGTGTGTGCTTGGCAGCTATCTCATATGCAAACTGCAATTCCGTGACATGTGCCCTGTTACTCGAGCTTCGCAAACTGCATTTTTTTTTTTGTTTTATTTTTTTTTGTTTTATTTTTTATTTCTCTGCATTTTCAGGCAGACTTCTAAAATTTCATAAATTCAACGAATTTGTCGCACAGCCGTCAACGCTCGACTGAGAAATTCCGCAGTTTCTAATAAACGCCAAGACAGGCAGTTTCTCTTGTTGTTTCTCTTGAAAATGAAGTAGAAGAAGAAGAAGAAGAAGAAGCAGAAGCAGACGCAGAAGAAGCAGCAATGACAGTATTGTATATAGAATGTTGATATATGTATGCGTACATAACGATCGCCTTCCATGCACAGTTGCTGCTAAAAGTTGTGCAACCCAATTGAATGCAGATGATGTTGTTCATGATAATTGCATAAATTTATTGTCAACAGTAGCAACAGCAACAGCAACAGCAAAGGCAACAGCAACGGCAGCAACAACAGCAGCAACTGTCACGCATGCCACAACACGAAAATGTGCAAGAGGTAGAGGCCGAAAGTAAAACTAACTGAATGTCCTTGCCAACCACTTTAGCTGCTTATCATAACTGGGCAGGGAGCGACACAATCGATAAGCAGAAACAAGATAAAAATAATAATAAATGAGAGTGTATGTGTGTGTGTACAAAAAGAAAACGAAATTAAAACGCAAGACGACCGTCGCATTGTCAAGAATATAAAAACAAATTTGTATGTGTGCATGCAGAGACGTTGCTGCCCCATTTCAAGTTGCAACATTTCACCTGCGACTTGTGTCGGAGGGGTCGTCTGTCTGCTAGCATTAAAAAATATGTCGATGCCATTCTTTAGCTGTGTGTATGTGTGTGTGTGTGTGTGCAATGGCTGCAACTTCAACTGTTGATGCAACACACACTCACACTCACACTCACACAGACATCAAACAGCTGTGCAGACATTTTAAGCAGCTAGTCATCAGGCTGTCGTCGTTGTCGCGGGTTTGAGCCTTCGTCTGAGTCGCCTTCCACGCTGTGTGGCAGGTGGAAAGAGAGAGACCGACAGAGAGAGAGAGAAAAAGAGAGGGAGAGAGAGCGAGAGGGGTCGCTTCGCTTATTGTAAGGTGCCACAACAGACAGCGTCTAGTCATAGACATATTCTGTGCGCCGTGTTTGGTATTTACCAAACAACCTTTGTCTGCGACCCCGCCCCCCTTCACTCCACTTCACACACAACTCCCTCATTGCACTTGTCTTGACTGTCTGGCATTGGTTTAGCTCCCGCTCTACCTCTTCCCTTGCTGCCCCTCTGTCTGTTCGCCCTGCCCCCTACCCGTCCGTCTGCCTAACTGGCATTTAGCCTGGCTGGCCTCTGGTGCGCCATTCGTTGCGCCTCGGACTGTGGCAAGCTTTTATTAACTGTCTCTGCAATACAAATACTTTTCCATTTGCAATCAGAGTTTCTCTACAGCGACAGAGTGCCTTAATATGCTGTTAACATGAGCTAACAGCATAAGTTCCTCGCCATTTGCACTCTGAGTTTCTCTACAGTGTCTGAGCCTGGCATGCTATTACTTAACAGTGCTTTAACATGCCGTTAACATGAGCTAACAGCATAAGTTTCTCTACAGTGACAGAGTTTGGCATGCCATTGCTTAACAGTGCCTTAACATGCTTTTAACACTAACTAATAACATAAATTTCTCTCCATTTGCTATCAGAGTTTTTCTACAGCGATAGAGTTTGGCATGCCATTGCTTAACAGTGGCTTAACATGCTGTTAACACTAGCTAACAACATAAATTCCTCTCCATTTGCAATCAGTGTTTCTCTACAGTGACAGAGTTTGACATTCCATGGCCTAACAGTGCCTTAACATGCTGTTAACACTAGCTAACAACATAAATTCTTCTCCATTTGCAATCAGTGTTTCTCTACAATGACAGAGTTTGGCATGCCATTGCTTAACAGTGCCTTAACATGCTGTTAACACTAGCTAACAACATAAATTCCTCTCCATTTGCTATCAGAGTTTCTCTACAGCGATAGAGTTTGGCATGCCATTGCTTAACAGTGGCTTAACATGCTGCTAACAATGTCTTCAGCTTTGCTCTAACTTTTCAAATTGATTAAGCAGCATGTGCTTTTTTTTCTTTCTCCGCTTCTAGATATTTTTCTTGAAAATTTTGTAGACGTGTTCTTCCCTTCCTTTTTCGCAGACATGTTGAAATCGCATTTTTATGTTGCAGCTAAATTCGTGACTAAACTTATTTTATTGCTTTTACTTTTTTATTAAATGTGGCCTTATCTGACCTCTCTTTCTCTCGCAGAGTCGTGTTTTCTATTCGAAAATCACGCATAGTTAAGTAGGATCTGCTGTCACTATTGCAGACCTGTTGCTAAGCTTCATGATAGAGCATATTCCAATCCAATGTGTAGACCTGTCGTGAGGCACTGAATCCTCATTGTAAGCCTCATTGTAAACCAATTTGTAAGTCATTCAAGTGTGATATATCTTAAAGCTTACTGACTGAAGGCCTAACCCCAAAGTGGTAAAGCTCATTGTAAGCTTACCAGCTATATGACAAATCTTCAGTGTTTACTCCTTAAGTTGCTGAGCCTCATTATAAAGCTCATTGTATGCCTGATTGTAAGTCACATTATAAGCCCCTCTGTAATGTACACTGTAAGCCAATTCGCCACACAGTTATGTAAGTCGAGCCTAATGCTGTATGTTTTTAGCCTTCAAACGCGGCCAATCCACCATATAAGCTCCATTGTAAGCCACATTATAAACCAGTAGATGACTAAGAAAACTTTTAGCTATAAATTATTGACACTCAACTCTTTGCTACAATATTATCCATTTATTCAATTGTCCATAAGCCATTTGAGTTGTAAATCTGCTGCTTAGCCGCATTGTAAACCGCATTGTAAGTCCCAGTTAAAGCTAATAGAGTTTCTGCTTAAGCACAACTCATTGCAATAACAATATCGCCTAATGCAATTATCTAGTTAACGAGCGTTGAAATCATTTATATATATATGTATGTATATCTATGTACCTATATTTATAGAGCCAAGAATACAGTAGACAAATCTGCTCGAAATACCCATTAAAAATTTATGTTTATATGCAAATATTCACTTCCTGTTTGAATAATTTTCGCTGTGAATAAATTAAATGCTATGCATAATTTAGCTTAAAGGAAATCTCTTTGCCATGAACTTGAACTTTTGCCGCAGACAGACACAGAGAGAGAGAGAAAGAGATAGATAGTGCCAGAGTGAGAGAGAGAGAGAGGGAGGCAGAACAACCTACTTATGCGGCAAAGTAAAAGTTTTTCAATGCCAGCTCAACTTTTTAGCTGCTGTTGCTTGTTGCACTCATGATGTTGATAAAGTTGATACGAGATGCTGCCAGCTGATTAAAATATATATGTATATATGTATATGTATGTATTTACATTTATATATATACATATATATAGTGTTAAGAGAACAACTGAAGTTGAAGACAAAATGACGTCATGCAGCACAAAAGTTGGCAAAAATTTGCACTATTTATGCATGCATGCATGTGCATGTGTGAGTGTTTGTGTGTTTGTGCGTCTGTGTGTGTGTGTGAGCTCATAATTCAACAGTTGACATTGTCGTTGTGACTTTTCAGCGTCATAATTAAGCGTGCCACATGTTGCACCAACAGCAACACCAACAGCAACAGCAACAGCTACAAATGCTGCAAAACTTTTCATGCATAAGCTTTATATGTGTGTTGCCCCCTCTCTCTCTCTCTCGCTCTGCCTCCCTCCCTCTCGCTCTCTGTGTCTGTCTGGCTGCACTTGTATCGCAGGGCACTTGAAGCAGCCGCAGACATTTACCAGACTTTTTGAGACAGCGTCAGACAGCAACAACAACAACAACAACAACAAACTAGCAAACAACAAACAAACAAACAACAACAATAGTCCATGGCATTGGCAAAGCTTTTGTTGTTGTACAATAACAAATTTACGCTAGGTAATTAAAATAGTGAAAGTTTTCAGTCAAATTGTTGGCTGCACTTTTTAGCCAGCCCACCCACCCAACCACCCAGCCACCCAGCCACCCACCTCATTTCATTTTCACTCACAAACTCTATGTCTCTCTCTCTCTCTCTCACACACTATCTCTGGCATTTGCCATAGCCTACATTTAAGCTTTTCCGCCTTGTTGTTTGTTGTTTGTGTACTTTTGCCAGAGTTTGCTATTGTTTTCTTCAAGTTCTTGACTCCAATGAGCTTTCAAACAAAGTGTGACCGTATTTGAGATATTCAACAAATTTGGGGAAAAACAATTCGATAATTTTAAAGTAATTTCTATAGGAGAATCGTGAATTTGTATGCCCACTCAATGAAGTGAAGCGAGTATATTGGTTTTGTATTTAGTACAGTATATATATGATATATGATATTGGGGAAATCGAAAAATAGTACTGGGTAGAGAAAACCTCTATCTATACATATGTATATGAATAAATATATATTTCATTATTTAGTAAAAGTGATGAAATCTTTTCCCATTCTAATTAATAAACTCTCTTTCTTTTTCTTTTCAGCATATTCTTCAAAATTCTAAATTTCAACGAAGAAGAAAGCGTGTAAAACTTAAAGAAAATCACAATCGAAATCTCGGCGAATCGATAGGCGAATCAGTTGTAATACGTTTATCGATAACAGCAGCAGCAGCAACAACAGCAACAACAAGTATCACACGCTACAACTCTGGCAGCGCTCTTCGGCTATTGATAAAAATAAAGAACAAACATTCTCACACACACCCACACACACACACACACCCATCCATACACACACATGCATTCTCTCTGAAAAGCAAACTTGACGAAATATTTGCAACCAACTGGACCAATTACATTTTTATCGATAAATAAAAAAAAACAAGCAAAAATATATATATATATATATATATATGACAAGCGATCGACAAGTAAGAAGAAGAAGAAGCACTTTAAAAAAATGATCATAAATTGAACAATCTTTGGGCAACAAATCTTTCGAGCTCGAAACTTGGCACAAATAAAACAAAAAATAAACCAAAAACAAAATATTAAAAAACAAAAACACAAAAAAAAAGAGGAAAAAACATTTCGAAAACGATTCATTTTCGGACAGTGTTGTATAACGTGCTACGCAACAGTTTTCGGTGTGCAAAAAAAAGCCAAAAAAAAAAAAAAGAAAAGTAAAGTGAAAAATAAAAATCAAGCTAAAACGAAATCAAACCAAAAGCGACATTAAACAACAACAACAACAACAGCTGCAGCAAGAACAACAAGAGCAAACGCAACAACAATTACAACAACGACAACGGCCCAAGAACAACAACAACAAAATCAATTGAAAATTGAAACTTATGGATTGCTGGACGGGTAACGCCCGACTGGCGAGTGTTTTAGTTTAAGGTAAGTTCTGGAAATTCCCATCAATTACTCAGGGAAATATATGTTGAATTTATGCTGCAGAATTCCTATGATCATTTAAGTATAGAGATATAGAGATATACCTCGACCATAATATATTATATTATGACACATATTGTAATAGTATTTTATTTATTATTATATTGAATGGAATGTATAGCAACAATACTTGGCATATGGTATAAATTATAACAAAAGTATTGTTATATAATACCTTCTCAGTAGATAATAATGCCATTGAAAATTATTCGCTAATTATTTACTAAAGTAATTTTTTATCTTCTCTTATCGGTCATATCTATTGCTGTTATTATGGAATACACTTGACTTTGATAGTGTTTTGTGGTGTACTGATTGTACTTGTTCTTCTGAGCTTTTATTGATTATTCATATCCTATCTCTTTAAGGCGTTTAGGCCATGAATGAGTATACTATTTTTTATATCTTGGTCCTTGCACAATTTTTTCTCATTATTGTTAGAGAAATAATCATTATTGCTTATGTTTTTAATATAAACACATTCATTAATATTCCCATTAGTCAGATTATTTTTTTTTTTATTACAATTAGTATGTTTGATATTGCTCATCACAATTATCATTCATTATTATTCTGAAGTATTTTCTTTAGTATTTTTTTTTTGTTTTTCATATTTTTATATATTTATGTTTTTAGTTTTACTTTCTTATTTTAAATTTGTTTATTTTTACTTTTTACTTTTTTATTTTAATTTTTAATATTTGTTTTTGCATTTTTTATTTATTTTTTTTATTTTTATTTTTATTTTTATTCTTATTTTTTTAATTTTAATTTTTAATTTTAATTTTGTACTTTAATTTTAGTTTTAATTTTTTTAAATTATATCTTCTGTTAGTGGCTTTGTCAATCGAAAAGCACTCGAGCAACAGCTGACACTGCGTGTGTGTGTGTGTGCGGGTGTGTGTGAGTGTGCATGTGTGTTGGTTAATTTTTGACTGCTGCAATTAACGCATACACACAGACTAACACACACACACACACTCGCCTTTTGGCTAATTGAAGCAATTTTTGCAATTGCGCAAAATACAAAACAAAAAAAAATAAAAAATTCAAAAAACAAAAATGACAATTAAAATTGAAACCTTTGCAGCCAAAGGCAATTGTTGTTCACACAAACACACACACACAGATATACATACATATGTATATATATATATGTATGTATGTATGTATGTAGCTATACATGCATAGGTATATACACACATTTGCCTGCTGTTTCGCTGCGATCTTTTGCATTCACTTCCCATTGTCAAAAGCCAAGCGCAGACGTCGCTCACTTCCGCCCAACAACAAACAAGCAAACAAATAGCAGCAACAACAACTAGCTAACAAACAATTGCTGTTCGTCTCGCTCGGCCACGCCCCGTTGCCTGTTCGCCTAGCCAAAGCGTTCCATTACCAAAACGTTTCTGGCGCCGACCTTGGCCTTGAGCGCACTTCATTCCATTTGTTGTTGATTTCTGTGTGTTTGCATTAATTCTTTACATTTATCAATATGAAAAATGTATATACATATATATATATATAGAGAGAGAGAAAGAGAGAGAGAGAGAGAGACAGGGAGAGATATTTCTATATGTTCTCATTTGGCAATTGGGTTGGCTTTGCCTTTGGCTTTTGGTTCCCAGGCTGCCCAAATGCGTTGGCTCATTAATAAAACGTTAGCACCGTTAAATTGCCTCGCTGCAGAAATTAACGTCTAATTGATGAAATGGCAAAAGTCAAATGGAAACTGTGGAAAACTGTGCAAAGCCGAGGAAAAGCTTGGGCGAACAAAAAGCCAACAACAACAACAACCACAACAAAAAGGTTGTTTTGCTTATTGATTGAAAAGCAAAGGCGATGCGACTGCAATGACTGCAGCATCCAGCAGCAGCAGCAACAGCAACAACAGCAACAACAGCAGCAGCAGCAACAGTTGCTCATGTGCAATTTATGCGCAGCGTGACAAATCAATTTTGTTTTAGTCATTTTTAGAGAGTTTTGCCAGCAGTTTCGCTGCGTTTGTTTGCCAACAGCAGCAGTAACAACGGCAACAACTGCAGCAGCAACAACAACAGCAACAACAACAACAGCAGCAGCAGCGGTTGGTAGTTTCGCACGCTCGCAACGGCAAACAGCGCCGTTATCATCAGCATAAATATGTGACATTTGCGAGTAATGGCAAATGACGTTCATATCGAACAACCAAACAACCAACAACAAACAGCAACAGCATTAACAACACTGGCAAATAGTTTTCATATTACAGTTGCAGTTGCCGTTGCAGTTGAAAGGTTGCAAATGTGACGCGCCATGCATGCCATAGGTATCACTTAGCGCAAAGTTATCGATCAATCGATAACATGCCGATAGCATTACAGCATATAGTCTCTCTTGATTCATATATATCGATCAGTCGATAACATTCCGATAGCGTTAGATCGACAATATAGGCTTCACTTAATGCAACAATATCGATAAATCGATAACATTAAATTACACCAATGTCAGTTAGGCCTTACTTAATACTCAAGTATCGATCAATCGATAACATGTCGATATTATTCTATTAGGACAATGATATGTAGGCTTCAATTATCGATTAATCGATATCATGCCGATAGCATTAATCAAGCCAATGCCATGTAAATTTCACTTAAGGCAGAAGTATCGATTAATCGTTAGCATTATATAATTTATATTTATTTAATCAAAAGTATAGACCAATCGATAGCATTTTATCAGGCCAATGCCATTATTGAGCTTGCTAATTCGCAATTATTGAAATATTTTCATAGATCTACATCCACATTCACACTTTTATAATATACATACGATTTTGAGGCTCTAGCTCCACAGATGTACAAGATATACTTACTTCTAAAGCTGATCTTTTATGTTATTTAATCGATAACAATAAAACGGAAATAGCTGTGGATGTTTACAGGGACCTTAACAAACTTTTGTAGTCTCTATCTCTTATGGGTTCTGAGATCGACGCCTTCACACCTACGGACAGACGGACGGATAGACGAACAGGGCCAAGTGGATCCAGTCTGTCGTCCTGATCAAGAACTTAATGGGTTCGATGATACCCTGATTTCACATTTTCAATGTGTTTAGAGTATAAAAAACATGATAAACTGAATTTCTATTTTAAATGTGCTCAGATATTATAGGACAACAAAATATTGTTATTTTATCTAGTTATAAGTCATTAACATTGTTTTCTTGATGTTGTATTTTGTTGTATTTTTTGTTGCACTGAGTCGCAGTTGCTTGTCTCAACTTCTGCCCTTTTTCGCAGGCTCCAAAGTCGAGCAAAAGTCGCATGCGTAGGCGAATGTTGCAATCGGAGCGAAATGTGCTTGCCGCAACAGAATGCAATCGAGGTGCTCAACAGGCACGTTTCGCAGCAAATTATGTATGAATACATAATGTGCATATACACCTAAGCATAAGTATGTATATGCAAGTATCTACATATAGACATATATATATATATATATATATATATACATATAGGTAATTGCTGCTAATCATTTGGCGTGCGTGCTGCGTGCTGTTGCCGTTGCAAAAGGTGGCGCCTCCCTGAGCACGCTTTTTCGATTAAAAACAAAAGAAGAGAAAATGTGTTAAAAAAAATGTATAAAGAAAAAAAAAATAAAATAAAAATGCAATAAATAAATAAAAAATTATAAATAATTATAAATAAATAAGCGTCTTGTGTTAATTAGTGCGCTGCTCGCATTGCACAACCGACAGACGCTTTACAACACTGTGCGTAATTGTTGCTCTGAATGCGGAACTGAATGAATCACAGATAAATTGCTCACAACAGCTGAATGAACGCATGTGAATCGAAGCTGAAGCTCAATGATTGAATGTGCGCAGGGCCAGAAGCGAATGGCGATAAAGTGTCTGGAAAGTGCTATCGAAATCGAGTGAGCAATGCACTTGCTCAGGCATGACTGTTATCGCTTTGCGTGATTTTTAAGCGCTTTTTTATTTTTGCTAACGCATAATTGAGATAGATAGTCATCGAGAGAGACAGAGAGAGAGAAGGGAGAGAGGTAGGTGACCTTAAATATGCCATAACATCAAAGAGATGGCTACTTTATCGGTGGCCATGTATCGATAACTTGTGAGCAAGCTATAGCACAGCTATCAGATGAGTTGATGGACTTTGGGCTTGGTCTATGATGATATGAGAATATCTGGTATATATGGAGTCGATAACTATCGATATATTTGTTACACAATATTTTATGGATACTTTCTCAATAAGCTAATATCGATTATATTTGGATTAGAAAAAGGAAAGCGATAGACTTTTATCTTGGCTTAAGCTGAATTCTTGCTCGACAAGTATCGAAACACGATAACTATTCAGATTTATGATATATATCACCGTGAAACATGAAAGCTAATTTGATTGATACTTGAATTACCAATATAGATCATCTCATTCATAATCATCTATATATACATATCTTTAATAATCTGGCATTTATTATTATTTTATTGAAATGAGTTGTGATCGATAGATATCGAATCCGACGGCAGCTGAAATCGAATAGTAAGCAAATATTTATGCAAAGCCCGCGGGCAAACAGCTTCAGCCCCCATGCGAAAACTCAAGAACCTCAAGGTTGTGCGTGTGCGTGTGTGTGTGTGTGTGTGTCGCTGACAAATGCACAAAATGCATAGCGTGGCGCTTTAATGGGGCGGTGGGTGCAAGCGAGCACGAGAAGGGGAGGGGGGAGGGGCGTGGGGCTGAAGCAAAGCGCGTGCAAAACGCAAGAAGGAAGTGATTAATAAGCAAGCAAAGGCAAAAAAAAAAAAAAAAAAAAAAAAAAAAAAAAATAAAAAAAGTACGCGGACTGCTTAAGAGACCGCAAAGGAAAAAAAAGAGACCTGCACCAAATGCAAATGCAATGCTAGACCGAGAGAGAGAAAGG